TAAAATTCTCAAAAATGCAGCTCATATTGCTTTAAAATCCCCTTATCTGATCATCATGAAACCCTCACTTTTTTTAGCATTAGGAAATACGTACCTCTTCAAAGAGATGCATGTACTAGTACAATTTCTCTGAGCTTATTCTGTTTTGCCCTCAAAAACTCATGCATTGAAGTACCATAATCACATTTTATCATTGTTACAAAACAGAAAGGGGGATGATCGATTACACTTTACAAGACACACACCTGTAACATTTTGTCTGGGCTGGCATCTATCCCCGGGATGAAGTGAGCGGGGGAGAAGGCGATCTGCTCCACGTCAGCGAAGTAGTTCCCGGGGTTCTTGTTGAGGACCATCTTCCCGACCTCAATCAGCGGAAAGTCCTTCTGGGACCACACCTGTAAGAATATCATAATAACGGAATTACATTAATAACGGGCCCGCATTAACAAGACCTCAATCAGCGGAAAGTCCTTCTGGGGCCACACCTACAAGTATTTCATAATAAAGGGTTTACAATAATAACGGGACTGCATTTACAAGTATACCATATGGGACTTTTACGAGAGGCACTGACTTCTACGATTGACGTTTACAGGTTTACTTGGACATTTAGACTTGTATCATGTACGGAGGTACAGAATTGGTAATACCTATTAAGAAAACTTTTCTAATGGTCATAAAAATGTTTTTGGGGGCATTTGCATGTAAAGGCCGAGAGATAAGGGTAAGTTGGTTGTCGTTTTCTTCAAGGACAACTTATATATGCATTGAAATTACCCGTTATTTTCGTTTAATTAAATGTTGAGCTAAATATTCATATCCTAAAAGAGTTTCCGTACATTTTCCTAGTGTAAAAGTAAGCCGTAAACTGTAAAAGTCCATAAGGAATACATTAGCAAGCTTAGTCCCACCCCTACCCCCCAGAAAGACCACAAAAACTTTGTTGTTCAGTTAGCATTACATTTTTTTCTGACAAAATATCCAACTACAAAACAGAATTGTCAGACTATGTGGTAAACATCTTCAAGTATTATGCAACTATACCAGTATAAAGGGGATTTTGAATTTTACCTTGTAAGGGCAACTTTACCTTTGTGACATCAAACGGATTCCATTTATATTTTTCTGCTTGCTCAAAGGTCATGACCTGTATCTTGAGGGTCCAGGAGGGGAATTTCCCTTCCTCGATGTGATCGTAAAGGTCCCGGATGGCGTAATCCGGGTCTTCAGCAGACAGACGATGGGCTTCGTCAGCCATCAAATTCTTGATGCCCTGGTCCGTCTGTTGAAAATAAAAATCTTAAAATGTTTGGCAGGTGAAGGCTTAAGGGTACTTTTAGATCAATTTAGGTACAATATGTATGGAAACGTGTACTGAGACATTCTTGTTTTAAAACTATGTTGTAATAATGTGAAATACCATGGCATATAAACCATGTATACATAAATGCAAATCATGTTCAAGAATTATTTCTGAAACATACTTACGTTAAAGAATTACTGTAAATCAATTTTTATTCACGAGATCTTTTATATGTTCAAGTGATTTATTACGCGATAAGTGTGTGAGCGAAAATTTCATTCTCGCATATATTAGTACATGTATTCATTAAGTTCTAATAACAATTCGTGGAAAGTTTGCTTCGCTTAAAGAGTTAAGGTTTATCGCGATAGTATTTTAGTGTCGCGAAAATTTTTCAATGTACGAGTACAGTTACATGTATACATTTTTGCGAAATGATTATATATGTAACTATAGATGATTTATGTTAAAAAGACCTGGCTCTGCATTGTCTAAATTACATGGACAATGACTTTTTATCCCTTCTTCTTTAATTTCAAATGTGACATTATATGTAAATCATACAATAATATGTCGTGAACCTTAAAGTGGAATTTGCAGTAAACTGGTTGATTGTCCTTGTTGACCAGTTTAAACGTGTGACTTCCGTATCCGTTCATCCTCCTGTAACCGTCCGGCGTGCCTCTGTCAGAGAACAGGAAGGACACCTGGTGAGTGGTTTCTGGTCTCAGGGTGATGAAGTCCCAGAACATGTCGGGGTCCTGTAATTCATTATTGTACATATGATGGCGACAGTATTATTGATTCCCCCTGCCCAAATCCCCACTTCCCTCCCCTCAAGGAACTCGATCTCTCCTTAGTTCTGTTGCATCCCATTGACCTTTCTACTGACTAGGTATAACATCCAGAATCATAAAGGATAATTTATTACACACATGCAAATAGTGTAAAACTTAAATTAATGATGCAATTTTTAACTTGAATCAATATACACTGCAATTCATAATTACCTTCAGGTGAGTGCGAGGGTTTCTCTTTTGTGTATGAATAAAACTGGGAAACTACAGAAAAACAACAGTATCGTCAACATTGCAAGAAAAGTTATTAAGCTTTTTTCTAAGTCTTCTGTTAAGAATACATTTGAGAATGTTGTTCATATTTATTATTTACAAGGATGGGGTCCCTGATGAAGAAGATGGGCGTGTTGTTTCCCACCAGGTCCCAGTTACCGTCCTCTGTGTAAAATTTCACCGCGAACCCCCGCGGATCTCGGGCTGTGTCGGCGGATCCACTCTCGCCACCTACGAAAAGGTAGATAAAGGTTACACTGTATCTATTATCACTGAGAGAAATGTCATTTTGTGAAAAATTCTGAAAGTTTAATGTGCAAGGTTGGTATAACAATTGCAGGGGATTGAATTAATGGTTTGAAAGGGGGAAACATTCATCATTCTCACAATGAAATGGGAGGTCACCCAATAAATTTCAAATTTTGGCAATGATTAAAAAAATCATACAAAAAATTATTTATAAATATTTTTCCCTGTTTCTGTTTTCCAAATTCAGATTATTAAATGTGAAAAACAATCTACAAAAGACAATTCTCTGAAAAAATAAAATAAAATTAATTAAAATGACAATAAAACACTAATTGTTTAAGTCTGAGTTAAATTGTTCTAAAATAAACCACATCGAGGTCCATCATATATCACACATGAGAGGTATTTATTACACCTTATTTACCTGATAAAGGTTCAATGACATTTATTTAAAGCATGTATTAGTCTAGATATGGGACAATACGGAGAATTATTTTTTATAATACTTCGAATCATTGTTAAAATCCAGAAATTCTTTTATACAATGCGTCAAAAGTTGCTAAATAAAAAATGCTTTTTAAGTTTCTGTGTTTTAACAGGACTTAAGCATTTCAAACATGGTCTTAAATAAAGGCCACCTTGCATCTTCTAAATTGTATTCATTCTTTTTTTAAAACAAGTATATTTTTCTTAACTTTTGATGTAATGGATTCATGTTCTCGAAATTTTTTGTTCTGTCTTTGTATAAACTTGGCTGTGTCCGAATGGCCAAGGTCACTTTTCTGATGTACAAGTACTTGATTCTATGATCAATTTTTAATCCGTTTTTATACCATGGGTTAAAAAATTATCATATGAGCAAGTGCATACGGTCTGATGTCATTAGAAAACTCAACACAGTGTGATAAAGAGGTGAAGTACAACTCGGTTATAACGAACTTCAAGTCACTGGAACCTGTGAAATTTGTTCGTTATATCCGGAATTCGTTAGATTCATAAAAGACCTTGGAATTCGTTAAACTTATATAGCTGGGGATCCAAGATAACTTCGCTTTATCCGTGAATTCGAAATATCCGTGTTCATACAAAACAAGTTTTACTGTAATAAGAATTAAGGCAAATTATCATGTTAAATTCCAAACTTCTGGATGTGAAAAATATCGTTTTGGAATATTTTCTGCATATTTAACACGCTTGAGGTTGATGAATAAAATAATGGAGCGGTGATTAATGCACCATCTTACCCACGGTAGAGAAGCGGACTCCCACCGGTGTCCTTTTGCCGACTGATTCAAATGGTTTAGCCTTTGTGTACTTGGAAATGTCATTGGTACATTCAAAGTAACCGAAAGCACCTACAATCAAAACACAAATGTTTCATGTATAAGTAAGACGTCCTGTATATAATATCCGGAGGACCTGATTATATTCCACTTTAATATACATGTATGCTGCGTCAGTATGATCCCTGACCTGCGCCCTTGGCGTGTACGACCCTCTCGGGAATTCTCTCTCTGTCGAAGTGCGCCATCTCGTCATTAAATACAAAGTCCTGGATGAGGACAGGTCCCTGGGGACCCACTGTCATGGTGGCCGTCTTCAGACCAATGGGGGCACCTGTTCCCGTGGTGCATTGTTCCGGGGTCTGACAAAGAGAGAACAGAAAGTCTGGGTCTGTTAAAGTCAAAACAACAATCAGTTCTATAGGGTCAGATAGAGGAAACAGTTCCTGTCTCTCACAAGCAGAACTTGGTTCTAACAAAGTAAAACATCAGTTTTGGACTCTGCTAAATGTAACACAAACGTTTTATCACTTGAAAGAGCTGAAAATGTTTTCTTTACTTTTCTTGAACAATATTGATATCTTCATGCATTTCCGACCACAATCAAATAAGAAAATAACTCTTCTTTTAAGAATAAAAATGGTCATTTATTGAAATGAGAAATAAATGACAGTGAATCAAAAGCAATTGATATAAAAAATGTACAAAAGTAACTAAAGTTAAATACATCAACATCAAAAGTTAAGACACAAATAAAATCAAGTTTGTACCTGAGAGGAACAACAAGTTACATCAAATGTAAAGATACGATAATGGCATAATTGACATAAAATATATAACCAAATGGGTCTCAAGAATGGTGTCAGATATTGCTAACCAGATAATATGGAATCAAAGAATTACATGTTCATAAAATTATGTATATTTTATAGATTCTTTTAGAATTCGACACCAATTAATGCAAGAATTTTAAATTTTCAACCTACACTTCAAGAAGGTATATAAAACGCAAATCCAAATGTAAAACATCGACTCTTATGTACTTTTATTATTAATTTTTGAGTATTGAAAATAATTTTAAAAAATGTCTTTACTTAAATGAAATACTTTGGTGTAAATTTTTATTTAGGATGGATTTTACTCAGAGAATTTCAACAATTGTATTTTATATCCTCGCAAATTGTAAGTATATTACTTTATAAACGATCTGAAGAACTACTTGAATGTACCTGGTACAACATAAGTAAAGAACGGCTTTTCAAAACATATTGTCGGCCCGCACAACTTTTTACAGCACAAATGTATCAGAATCGTAAAAAGAGACCTAGTTCTATGACCTGATTTTTGGCGTACACGTGTACTTACCTTCTGTGACGATTTAAACTCATTCAGTTGTTCTGCAGCCTTGTCTCTGGTTGCCATGGTGAATTATATCTTCGGTCTGAAACAATATAATGCACTGTAAGAGGAATATTAACACAGACACAAAGACAGACAGACACAGACTTTAAACTTGTTTATGTATCAGGCGACCGGTTTTTTCCTATTATCTGAACAAAAATCGTCAGGCATGTGAGCTGATAACGCAATACACTATAATCTTAAGTCAGATGACTTTTTTCTTTTCAAGGCCAGCAGCATCGAGTTACAGTGTTCTACTTAGATTTGACAATGTACCAGTATTAAATAGCTCCATAGCTCTGATATATATCGTCAAAAATCCTAGTGTATAGCAAAGAAAAAAAAATGAAGATAAAAACTTCTACAAATATGACAAAATATATTTTGCATTTTTACAACTCCCCCCTTTTTAGTTAATTGCAAGTTTGTGTTTCAATCTTTATGAAAACCTAATCTACCATTGCGTTTTGAGGGTACAACCAAAGGAAATATTAACAGCCCAGAGCTTTTAAACCATTTTTGTGGATACGGCTAAACTAGAATTTGCCCGATGCCCAATCCAATTCACTTTTTTTTCGATAAAGGTTTTTTAATAAATAATATTTGTTAACCGTCCTATACAATATACTGTAATAATAAAACTATAATGAATGACAGGCAAGAGGAATTATCCTATTTAATCCACATATCAGTAGAAATTTAGCATTGTTCTTTTGCCTTAACGTTGAATTGCACTCATTGCTATTTTATGGAATTTTATCAAGAAAAACAAATAATCTTGGATAAATTATAAAACTTAAAACCAGCAATCAAAACGGAATAAAATCCGAGATACTGTGTAAACACAAAAATACCATAACCGCGTATTTATATTCATGTCATTAAACACCACTGTTGCTCATTTCTAATTGATTACAAAGTATAAACTTCTAAATTTCATCTTCCAATTATCAATATTAATACACAATCATTAGTTGGGGCGGATACCTATTAAAATTCAATTATTAATTCTCAATCCCGTCCAAAAATCGGAAGTTGTGGACAATAGATATGGATGTTATTAAAATGAAACCTCAGTATAACATTGTCATATTTTATTAAGTGTTTTTCCATATAATCAAAGGTTAATTGAGAAAAGGACTCGGGTAAGGTTACATGCATGTCATAGAAAAAGTGTACGGTTAGCGGATAATTCAGCACAAACCTTGATCACATGAACATTTTTTATTGTCGATGAGTAACACTACATTTTCGTTGCCAACAGTGAAAGGTGTTACTTTACATACATACTACATGTATCAGGAATAATGCATGTGTGGATACATTTTTAATCATAAAAGACTTGTTGACTATGGGACAGTAGTACGTGCGTGACAATTAGATCTTGAGTTCACTGCCAGGATAAGCGACCATACCATCTGTAGATTGGCGTAGGTGGTACTGATTATAAAATGCAAATCTGGCAAAATTTTATTTCAAATCTATATGACCTAAAAGAGATCAATTTCAATGTTTTGGGTGTTCGTTTATTTGACAATAGATAAATAAAGCAAAAACCCAATCCCAAAAGTATGATTCTACAACTTCCTTCATTAATAATTACGAACTTAACAGAAAAAATCAAATTAGAAAATATAAAGTAATTTTTGAGGTAGGCAAAATCTAAGGAAGAGCTGCTTTGTGTAAACCCTAGGGTCAAAGGTCAGTTACAAAGCCTATAATAAACTTTCTTTTTGTATACATCTAAGAAAATTAAGCTTGAAGTCTGTAGATTAGAGCAATCTTGACTGTAGATTATTGCAGCGAAATAAACACTTGTTTGGAGGTGGGAGTGACTAGTCGCCGAAATCGACGTAAGAGGCATTCATTCAACAATCTCTCATGAGCCTCGTTTGCTGATAGATTGCTTAAAACAGACATTTCAAAAATCAATCCCATCAACCCCTCGCTTCCCTCAACCAATCAGAAGTTTTCTCTTCTGATCTAGATTCGATAAGATGGAAAGCATTTTAGGAAGATAAGCCCCTCATTTACGTAGTTGCCATTTCGAGCAAAATGCAATGAATACGCAAGTAGGTACAAACTGAGTAATTATAAAATTAAACAGAATTCCAAGAAAGAACGAGGTATTATGATATTAATCAAGAAGTTTGGAGAGAACGTCATTGCAATTCGAATTTTTATTTTACCGATCAAATTCCTAATTAACACTTTTTATCAATTTGCAGTACATGCATATGATAGCGGTTACATCCAAAGTACGGATTGTATTAAATTTGAATTTACACTCTCTTTTTTTAAAAAAAATCTTATATTGCGTCATTATTGACGTAAGAAATATGATTATCCAACCAAAGTGCCCTAAATTTTATTGTTTCAGAAGACATTGCTGCCATTTCCCCCATTGTGGCCTGAGATTTACGCAAATGTTTCTAATGTGTTAATATGTGTATAATACCAGAGGCCACTGGGAGTCTTTTTCCTTCCAGATCATTATTTCATAACACTGAAAATAGGTGGAACTAGAGCCGAGCTCGTTGCAAAGCAACGAATAGGTCTTCCGTTGGAGCTACGGATAGGAAGACGTAACCTTGAGTCTAGGTCAAGCCATATTTAACGTTATACAAGTAAGCAACCTAAAGGCTTGTAAAGGAAGAAACTTACAATGTTTCGCCATGAAAAACGCTGTAAAGGAATGTATGTGAACTTGAACTTTCTAAATGACCTTGCGTCAAGCAATGACAAACTCTGTTATAAAAATCTAATACCGTATAATCCCTATTAACCGCCCCGGGCGCTTAAAAAAATTTCGAAAAGGAGGCGGTTATTTTGGTATTCTCTTCATATTAATATTTAATGTCATTCTTATACTTCAAAAATTTTAAAGAACAGCTAAAATAATGTCGAACTTTACTTTAAGTGAGGATAATCCACCCAATTTATGTGATATGATTCATTTTCCACTGAGAAATTGGATAATAGACAAGTTACATTTTCACTTTGTTCAAATTTTGGCAGACTTTTGATACGATTCTAGATGATTTTAATCACTGTAGAGGGGGCCCTTGTTTTCTAATAATTGAAAAAAGACCTATGGGGCGCTTATGGGGGCAGGGGTGGTTAATAGGGATCATTCGGTATGTGTATTACCGACTGGAAAAGTACACACATATTTTTTATATATTCTTTTAGTCCATGAATCCAGCCAAAACATCTTATCTTTAGTGACCTTGAACTTGAGTCAAGGTCATGTCCCACCCTGCATTATACATGTATCAACAATGTTTCACAGGTACAAATACTGTAGCGAATTTACAGTTTCTCTGTCAGTAACCTTGACTTGTCTGAATGAATAGATATGTTCAGCCTCATTTTTTCTGAGCATATATAGTATCAAATCGGAAGAATTTATTAGGTTCAACACTATGATTTAGCTAAGGATTTAACTAGAAATATGTCTATAGGACATGAATGCATCGCCAAGTGTATATTAGTAAATAATGCAACATTAAAATCTGTATTAATGTATGACGTTTGTTGAGAATTTCTTGAATAGTTTCTTAAAAATTAAAATCTTAAAAAATGGATATAGATTATAAAATCCCCTTCAAATAATGCATAAGCTTACATAAAAATATCTCAAATGGTTTCTTTAATACTAAGGAAAATGCAAATTAAAGAAAAGTGAGGTAAAGGTCACAGGAAAGTGAAGGTTAAAGTGTATCAGCTTACTAAAGTTTGATAAAAATGTCTTGAATTAATTCTTCAAATCTGAGCACCGCCCGTGTGGCACAGGGGTTAGAGCATCTGTTCTAGACTAAGGTTTGGATATATCTCTCAAAAGTGTGCATATATTTTGGCCACTTTTGTACATGTAAAAATGAATACATGTAAATAATTAAACTTGCATGCACAAGCATATTCCCGTAAAATTGTGCAATTGAAATATTCTGTTCGGGTTTTTCCCTTGAGTTGGAAACGTCACTTACTGGTACACTTACAATTATTTCCATTTATAACTATCGGAGTACACGATGTATTTTTAACACCGACATGCCCGCGGCTCTCTGCGGCCACGCACGTGTGAACGAGGACTCGGGTGCAAAACTTTTTGACACAAGGCAACAGAGGTGGATGTAAACTGTAATGACATAACTGAGGGCATTGTGGCATCGCACTTTGAAAAAAATGCATAAAACAAATTCTAGACTTATAGATTTTAATAATTTAAATTGAAAAAGGATACACCCCCAAGGTAAGCCCCAATTTTTAATGCCTATATAATGTATTTGCAAAACATTTGTGTGAAACAACCCCCCCCCCCCCCAGTACAGATGCCTATGCTTCACAACAATATAACTGGTATGACGTTAAAATTTTTCAATAAATTTTAGTTTACATAAAATGCATGATAACTGTAAAAAAAAAATTAGTTCAGTAAAATAATTAAGGGAGAAAGAATTTTCAAAGTACATGTATGGAAAAATCAAAATCGCTCACTTTCATATCGTAAAGTGACCATACCGAAGAGTTATCAAACAGGTTCAATTATTTATATCATATCTAAGATTTGCAAGAATATTGACCAAACCATACACATTTTTCAAAGTGCGTTTATATGGTCGATATTAACGCACTTTGAAAAGAAATTTTATTTTTTTAAGTGCGTTGATTTGGTCCCAAATTTAACGCACTTTGAAAATATTTTTCAAAGTGCGTAATTTTTCAAAGTGCGTCGTAACAGGGCATACATAATGAAATTCGATTATTCGTGGACGATACATCACTGTTTGCAATAGTGGACACTAATTTTAATACTCCTACATGATCTCTTAATTACAACCGATCTTGATAAAATAAAGAAATGGTCACAAATCTGATTTTTATTAGATTTTAGGTATAGGCGAATGTGTGTGGATATGTGGAAGGGATAGTGTAAATTAATTCATTCAAGATTTGCTAAATTGTTCGTTTGGGCGAAGGCTTAGAAAAAGTGACACACTGCGTGTACAGGTACACACCAGTAAATGTTATCATTAAAATAAAATTCGACGGACATCAATTTACTGGTACATTATTTTAGTTATCTGAAGACAACGTAATCTTCAGAGAATGAGGCATTATATATATTTTCTGTTTTTCATACCCCAGATTTCCTTTCTTTTGATTTACCGTTTACACAGGCCTGTGTTTTAACAGCTGTTCATAAATACTGTCAATTAATATATGATAGGAGAAAACGATACATCTCTCGGTAATTTATTTTTTTAGGGGGAAAATATAGGTGAAAATATATAGATTGACAACTTAGTATTTACCCGTGTAATTTCGAGGTTACAAACCGTGACGATGACTGGACAGGATGGGCTACCCGTTATAAAAACAACTCATAATCAACTCTGCGGACCTATAATTAGTTCACTCTAATGTCTGTATTTCAAACGCAGATAAGGCTCTACATGCGTATATTTGAGCCCTCTTGCATATGCATTATACTTTAATTATAAAACGTGCATGTTCTGTACTTGCATGCATGTACATTATTTGTCTCCGTAAAACCTTAATGAAGCATTACGAGAGCTGATAAGAAAAAATAAACGGAAACCTGCTCGCAAAAAATTACAAGTTTAATAGAAAATAATTATTTGTTCAAGGTTAATTAGTTGTCCAATGGAATAAGTTACGCATGTGTGTCTCAATCTACATACTTTAGAGGCGCGTGTGAATGTGAGATTTTGTATTGATGTATTCTGATAAACGCTCGATATTTGTATAATTGGGACGTATACAGTTGTACATTTTAAGGACGACGACAAAAGAACGTAAATTGAATTACATACATGTACATTTAACTTAAGATACAAAAAATCTATCACTAGTAGAAATTAATCAAAGGAGCATATTTTCGATGGTATTTGAAGTGAAACAGATCATGACCTCGATATCGAGAAAAACATTTGCTATTAAAAAAAAATAAGTATATGCAACTTTCATTTAATTCAGCAAATAAATTATTGAATGAAATGCACTAGCGACATAATCAGTCAAAGATACTATGAAATAATCTGAAAGATTCAACATATTAATTAAATTTATCCATTCTGTGGTTTCTTTTGTGTATATGACTGGGGGTCGCTGGATAACACGCCGATTGATTCCCGGTGACCGACTTTACCCCGCGTTATCGAGGGAGGCGCGTTATATAATCGTAAACAAACAAGGTGAACGTAAAAGGCGTGCACTTAATGGCTGTGAATAGTATATGCTTTACAGTTATGTTTTATTTTCTCACTATATTGTTTGTTTTTATATGATAAGAAGAAAAGATTATCTTTTCTTCCATTTTTAGTACACTTGATTTATACGATTTAAAAAAAATGAAATAAAAGGGAAAATTGTCAGTGAATAATCATGATAATTTGGGGGAAAAACACAAAACACTTCAAGAACCTTATTCTAAAAAATATTAGCATCCAATGTAGCCATGTTTATCATTTATAGTAAGTTTGTTTTGGTTTACACGCATGAGGAGCTCGCGTTTACGTGCTGAGTGAAAAGAATTACCTGTACATATATGGGTCATGTATCTAGCTCATTTAAAACAAGACTCGAACAAAACAATTTCATGAGATAATAAGATGTTAAAGCAAACCTTCATAATCGACAGTCATTCCGAAATATTTACCTTTTTTGAGTTATAAAGCAAAAGCTTTCAAGGGCCCTAGATCCCTAATTTTAGGGGCCAGCCCCTTTTAAATGATATTAAATGAAAGCTCGTGCAATTATGCACAACTTTTATTCTACATGTCTTAACAAAAAATTTTTAGTTTTCAAGATAAAAAGGAAAATATGTGTTAATTTTCGCTCTTTTAGGCGTTCTAATTTTTGACCCCTATATAGCGCCATTTTAAATACAGAAATCGAAAAACAAAAACCGATGTGCACAACTTCAATCCTTCTGTTATCTAAAACCAGTAAAATTTTTGCTCCAGCTTTTGTGGTCTCTGAGCCTTTGTCTGGAAATGAAAGCCTATAAATTTTCGTTTAAAGGGAAATAACTCAAAACCGGAAGTGACTTTTTGAAATTTTAGACAGCATTCTGATAGAGTTTATTATCGTCTATAATGTCTGAAAATTTGAGCAAAATCCATTGAGAAATGAGTGAGATATGAGGCCTCAAAGTTGGCGTCTAGGAAGAAAAAAAAAAAAGAATAATAAGAATAATCTTAATCATCAGAATCAGTAGAAGGTCTTCCGTTTGAAACGGAAGACCTTAATAAATAAATTAATCGAATTGTCATTTGTGTATATTGTCCACTAGTATAGTATTACATACATGTATTTCAGAAGTTTGCATGTTGTAGATGTAGCGAGAAGAATCGACAGTTTTGTTAGATACAGACAATAAAGAAACTTATTTCGTTTTTATAACAATCTTTAGAACAATGCTTATGATATTTCACACCGATTCTGCAGAGTTTATGCATTATCGTCTATTTACAAAGCATGACGTTTGAATGCGGGTTTCAGCATTATGTTTTGAATGCGGTGCCCCTATATTGTTGTACGTTTTTGTTAAAACATTGGATATTGTAAAGTGATTCATTTCCGATTTTATGTATTAATTATCAGTTTGGTTGACTTATGTATTTCCATTCACCACGTATCAATGCATATTCATTACCTAACCGTGACGTCACACACGGAATGGACACAACAGGGTTTGTGACAGGTAGCAGGCGTACTTGGAGGATGACGAAACAGAATTGAATCGGATGCGGGCTTTATAATTCCGGCAGCTGCACCACGGCTAATCAGTGGAACTGTCTCAGATGGTGGACGGTAGCTATAAATATTCATAAGCCGGGAAAAAAGTAAACGACATTCGACCATTTGCATAAAATAGCTGTGGAATTTCCTTTTCCCTGACAATCTGTCTTTATTGTGCTTCTCGGTAGGATGGAATACAGTTGAAAATTAAGATTTATCCCGGGAAAATTGATAAAAAATTATATATAAAACAAACAAAAAAATTAAGACGGTTTTTATTTGAAGAAAAAAAAAGAATTTGGAAAATCGAGGGAATTTACAATAGCAAAACTGGGGAACTGCATCGAAGCTTATAAAATTGCCATGCGCAATTCCTCAATTTGTGGACCGGATCTGGAAAATCCGGAAGAGAAAAGAGACACATCTGTAAAATGGAGCAGTTCCGGCAAAAAAGAAGATGCAAGAGCATCCGTGCACCTACGGAGGCGGAAATAGCTAATCTAGAGGTAAGAATTAAAAATATTTTTATTTCGCCCTAGCAGTCGCCGAGTATCTCTCAATGCAGATATTCTTTGAATAACATTTTTGGCAAAATCGTATTATAATTTTTATCATTATAAAATTATATATATTCTTCAAAGAAAGGATTTCAGTATGAGACTTGTTCTGGGATTCCATTGCCTAAATAATAGAGTTGGAAGTAGTACAGATGAAATGGATAAAATAGATTTTATTTTGAAATAAAAAATATTTCTCAATATGATAAAAAAAACCCACTAAACCCCTCATTGAAATTTCTTCATTCTGTCGGTAATAATTCCTATGTGATAATGATAGCACCAATAGCCTGCGGGAGCCAGCCTCAGAAACGGTCAAACCTTTGTTTGTGTTTATTAATATTCTGTGTTAATTAGCCCATTATGATCAGATAAATTACGGACTTTATGTGCGATAAACGACGATATGTGTAATCCATATATGGGATTTACATTAACTGTTTATCTCACATAAGGAGTAAAATGTCCACTGTAGCCTGATGTGCCGCTGATTTTGCAGAATCAAACCCTTTCCATCAATTCCGACTGAAAGCAAAAGCGAAGGACATGTATTGAACTACTGATATGCATTATATGTACAGGTATCGGCACGTTTTTGTGTGCTCAATTTGACATAAATACTGACAGTCAGTATAATTCAGTACCATAACGTTCTCAAGCAAATAATGTACTATACTTTTTTGTCGAAATTGAGAACTTGGCAGTGTAAATTTTGAAACAAAGCACTTGCACGTTCAACTCAGACAAAATATAAATGAGAAAATATTGCATTCCAAAGAATTCTACTACAGTTCTATAGCTTTTAGTGATGAGAAGGACAACGCTATTTCTAACAAACGTTTTGCCGAAAACGGAAAAATAAACACAAAACAAGAATAAAATGATGAAGTTTGACTTCAAATTTTGTTGGAAAACAGTCATGACAGCATTGCAGAAGGAAGAACTTGAAAAAAATAATGATCTTTATGTTTAATTACATACTGATACACGTATAACCTTGAGGATTGCACTTATGCATTAGACCTTTCGTAGGCCTTAATGAATAAGAGACATGGTGCTAAGAGTCTGTTTATGTGACTTGTCTTTAAGGCAGTTTTGCATACTTTAAGTACGAAGTAGATTGGTGCCATTGTTAAGAGTATTTAATTTCCACTTCAACTGTTTAACTGTAAATGAGTCAGTGAGATGTCTTACAAAAACTAAATTTACACAAAATTGTTCATCAAGACTTCAGCCCTTAGCCATCGCCCGATTAAAGTTTCGAACATTGTTAAGAAAAACCTTAGAAAATTACATTTCGTTAAATGTTAGATTTTACTTTACATGCATTTTCTGTTTATTCCACTGAAAAATTGATGTCTCTGTCAACTTGTAAAGAAAACAAAAATCCAAAACAAAAGTTCCTGACATCACCTTAAGCATTTAGGAGGTCATATGAGGAAAAAAAAAAGATCGCATAATCTACTACTCCATGCCTGATGGAATATGAACATAAATTCAGAAAACATGAGCTTTAATTTCTTACATTTTCATATTTTATAAAAGTACAGTTTAATTAAACATTTACTGATGATCAATAAAAGCGTCATACAGCCTATGTACATGTACATGTAGACGTATATGGTACTGTATTTATCATGTACAAAAGCGGTCGACATACCATACCGATTTTACTGCATGTAATGTTGAAAAAATGTTTTTCGTACGTATCAAGTTAGTAAAAAATTATAAATTACAATTGTTATTTAATTTTCATATAGTATATAACAAAGTGTACGTTTATAATCTGCTTTTAACCTTTGTTACATTGTATGAATATTTCAAAACTGGTTACAATATGGAGAAAATTTACATTTTTGTACTGAAGTTATTTGGTCCGTTCATACGCTCGCAATTTGACATTATTGAAGAAAGCAATCCACGGGTTAATTGATGAACACATTACACTTCTAACGTCTGGACATTGCTTACTTTCACTTCAATCATTATGTATTAATGGTTGACAATTTCCGCGTACAATGTACGGACAAATTAGTGGAAATTCTTATTAATTCCGATCAATTATTGTCATGCGCAATTTTCCGCTGTTATTTTAAAAGCATTCAGGTTCTCAAATTGTTTAAAACAAAAAAAAGTCATAGTTAATTAAAGGAAACCATCTTTCAATTTTTTTTTTATTACAGCCTTAGGATATGAACGAGCAAGACAGGATGCAGAAGAGTGCTTAAGTGTTTTCAGTTCGTTTTGACATGACATATGATTAAAACAATTGGCGACAGAGAACATCGAGACGCTAATTGATTATTAAAAGTGTATAGAACCGATTTAGCTGACATAAATTGAATCTTTACTGTTTTTATTGTGTAAAATATATTCCCTTTTAATTGCAAGTGTTACCTTGTAGAGGACACAAGTAACTGCTGTACCCCATTACATGTAAATAAAATGACATATAAAAATTCGTACTTTGGTAATTATTGGTACGGTTTGTGCTACCTGTGGTAATTATAAGTACGGTTTGTGCTACCTATGGTTAATATTATAGTACAATTTATTCTACATATGGAAATAATTATAACGTTTTGTGCTACTTATGGTGATTATTGGCGCGGTTTGTCCTAGCCATGGTAATTATTGGCACGGTTTGTGTTACTGTGGTAATTATAAGTACGGTTTGTGCTACCTACAGTATTTATAGTACGGTTCGTCCTACCTGTGGTAATTATGTTCCCCAAACGAAGTTGGGGAACATATTGTTTTTACTCTGTTTCTTATTATTATTATTCTTCTTCTTCTTCCTGGGTACTTTTTTGTCCGCGAGTGATCTTGTAAACTGTTCATCCGATGTAGGTAAAACCTTTTTAGGGTCAGTAGACATGTTATGTAGATTTGTGGAATCAAGGTCATTTTGCGTGCACGTGCTTGCAAGAGCGTGCGCGTGCAACACGTGAAATGACCAATATAATAGATATAGCCGTAACTTTTTTATTTTTTGATGAAATGCTTTGAAACTCATAATTTGATTATTTATTTGTAATATAGACATAATGACATGGTAAAAATAGCAAGATCTCACGTGCATGCACGTGCGCTTTGCTCTGATTGGCTGAAACTAAAGTCTCTATATCTTTCTTGTTTTTCGACGAAATCCTATCAAATTTTGAACATAGCCATGCATTAATATATCCTACAACATGATATGTAGCATTTGTCATAAAATCACGTGCATGCACGTGCGCTGCAATCTGATTGGCTTAAACTTTAAATAGCTGTAACTCCCTTGGTTTTCAACCAAACAGGATGGGATTTGGAACATAGATAGATATAATGGACTTCTACAAGTAGGTATGGTCACCATGCACATGCATACACGTGCGTGTACTTGCGCTGTAATCTGATTGGCTGAAACTTTAAACAGCTATAACTGCTTTGGTTTTCAACCAAACGGAGTGGGATTTAGAACATAGATAGATGTAATGGACGTCTACAAGAAGATATTGACACCATGCTCATGCATGCACGTGCGTGCACGTGAAATTAGTTAAATCAAAAATACACTTGAATGAGCGTATTTTTAAATACTTTTGGATAAAATACTTTAATATTTAGTATATTAAAATGTATAGATTGTGTAGACAAGATGATATGGTCATTACGCACATGCATTCACATGTGCACGCGTCCAATGCTAAAATTTGAATGAACTTGGCGTTGTTAAAGTCTCAATGCATAGATTTTGTCCTATCTAATGAAGCTTACAGGGAATATGGCACCAAAAGGGAGTTGGGGAGCGTTTGGGGAACATCTGTAACGGTCCCCGTTACAATTAGCACTAGTTATTGGTACGGTTTGTGTTACCTGTAGTAATTATTGGGACGGGTTGGGCTACCTGTGGTAATTATTGGTACGGTTTGTGCTATATACTTGACATGTGGTAATTATTGGTACGGTTTGTGCTACCCGTGGTAAATATTGGTACGGTTAGTGCTACCCGTGGTAATTATTGGTACGGTTTGTTCTACCTTTAGTAATTATTGGTTCAATCAGAGCGTTATAATCAGTACCGATGTCCCGGAGTTAACTTACATTTCACATCTCCGATTAATTAGCATCATCCACATATGATCATGAACTGCGTAAATTTTGTTTGATGTAAAGCTTACTCTAGCAGGTTTCAGAAAATAAATTTTATTAAAATATAAGACTCATTATAAACTTCATCCACATTGTACCTGCATTTTTTGACAACTTTATCATTTGAGGTAATTATCAAATACCTGCATCTCCCACAATATGTCAGCTCGACGCGATAACCCCCAGCCGTACATCTTTTTTATAATTTTTTTTAATGGATTGTAAATTGGCATTTGAAAATTCAACCTTTGTATTATAAAAACTCTTAAAGTATTTTTATAATTCAATAACGTTAACATATTTTAAGTCGAAAGTTTCTTTTTTTAAAAAGATATTTCAAAACGCCCTTACCTGTTCTGTTTTGAGCGCTTGTAATCAAATGACAAGCGAAGTTTGCAGTGTTTGACACAATACGGACGTTCCTCTTACTAGGTGAAACAACAAACTGACGGCAGTTCACTTTTGTCGAATTCTTGAATCAGACCGTAAACTGGGAGCGAGACTTCTACTTATCTATGTCTACATGTATCTATATATATACATAATGTGTATATCATAATTTACAACGTTTAAGATAGCAATATCCTTGATTTATTTTAAAGTTCCTACAGAGTGTTTTGTTTACGTACATCAGTACCAAACTGACGATTTCTGAGTGATTTAGGGAAATGAGTTATTGATAGTGTGTGTTGTATCATCTTGTTTATCATATAATTGTCACACTGAACATTACGAGTCATTTTCCCCCAACGTCTTGATCAAATTTGACTTAAATATAAGTTCTTTTAAAATGTACCTCGTTGACTTTTAAATGAAAATTTCATACATAATATTGCAAAATAAGTACATGATGTTCAAATGATGTAATGATTAATCTCTATCTACTTAAAAATTATCTTGAATTCACCACATTGCCCACGCAAATCAGCCTGATTCTCTTTCTAATTTTGAATCAATCCCTTTAATTTTTTTTCACTTTTACTTTGACCACATTGTGACCTTGACCTGACTCGTTAACCTTTTTTGTTTTACAGGAGAACCTGAAGCAGTTGGACGGAATTTTTAGTCCTTCCGGAATCGGAAAGACCACTTCCGTTGTGTTTACGCTTCAGAATAGAGTGGGGAACCTGGCAAACGCTCTCAAAATATTCCAGGTGAAAACTCCTCAAACACTATGTTTGTCATCCTCTAAAGCTACATATAGGACTGTGTTTTATCTAGATGCAAAAGAGCAAATAAACATATACAATCTAAAATATTTAAATGAGGTTTAGATACCGAAAAAAGAGGAGTTTGTATTCTTCTTTTAGATAAGTGCTTTATACTGATGTTCAGGATATTGTTATTCAAGCAAACTAATTAGTGTAAATTACTGGCGAGGAAATCATGCCTGTTTATTTGTAGGACAACCACATTAACGTGGTACATATAGAATCTCGGAAATCCCAGAAGAACGAATCGGAAGCGGAAATTTACGTGGAGCTGGAGACGGACAACATCCGGTTACAGGAGCTTATCAAACGTCTGAAGAAACAGGTGGCCGGGATCTCCTATAACGACATTCCCGTCCCGCCGTCCCCCGCCACAGCCGCTAGGGTACCAGCCACAGGTAAGATAAAACAGGTGGCCGGGATCTCCTATAACGACATTCCCGTCCCGCCGTCCCCCGCCACCGCCGCTAGGGTACCTGCCACAGGTAAGATAAAACAGGTAGATCCACTCAGGTAAGATATATGACAGGTAGATTTACTCATGTAAGTTAAAAAACCAAAGGTAGCTGGGTCACCGTCATTCAGGTTTAGCCACAGCTATTCTACCTTCAGCAGTTGAGTTAGGTTTACATAGTTCTTCTTTCCACTGGTAAGTCATATGCCATGGATCCAAATTCTCTGTACAGATAAATCATTACACAAACTTCCTGTTGTTTATTTTTTTCTTATTTTGGTTATAACCAATGTGTTTGCTGGTGACTGTTCCCTCTAGTTAAACTATTCCCAAAAAGCTTTTATAACTAACTTGATTCCATTGAAATATGATAATAAAAAATACATCATATTGCTACATATATTGTATCTCTTCTATTCGAATAACCTAATCAAATTATTTCTAAAGCGGAAGCTTTAGCCAGTGCGCCATGGTTCCCAAGGAAGATGTCAGACCTGGACAAAGCTGCCAATCGTGTGCTTATGTACGGCTCTGAGTTAGACGCCGATCATCCAGTAAGGCAACAAAACTTAAACTGTGTTCTGATTCTCATGTTCAATGTATAGCTTTAAATAATACGATTAAAAAACATTACATTTTTAAATTTACGATAGGGATTCAAAGACAAGATTTACCGTCAAAGAAGGAAGATTTTCGCTGATATTGCAATGGCCTATAAACAGTGAGTATATGATGAATAATACGGTGGCCATTTTTCGTCTGACGTCATATATTGTCGTCTGCTGATGACAGAACACTTCCACATGACAAAGCGTCTATCTTCACCTTTTGTCTGTAGTCTTTGAAATGCTAAGACCCCCTAATTGTATCTTTAATGCAGATATCAGAATGTGGAATTGATTCTTTTTGATTTCTGTATACAATAATTTTGGGGGGATTGAGGTTCTGCGAAGCAGGCGGACGGTCGATACAGGGTGCCCGAGCACGCAGTAGTCCTGTTCGTGGCTAGGTTAATACCCTGCTAAATACTTATGTTTATTTATTGTCTATAATAAGATTGGCCGCTATGGTGGACGTGCTGTTACACCAGAAAAAACGCACTCTGTTATGCAAAACAACAAGATTCACAACTCAAATAGTTCAAATGTTACTTTCATTATTTCCTTTGACATTAAATGAATCCTTTCATGAATGAATTGCGTTCTTGTCCTTGAATCTTCAGTAAGATTTGCCGAGCCTGCAGTTGTCTCTGATTGCATATCTTACTGGTATCTAGATTAATGACGATACTAGGAGTCATTGTTTTATAGGTTATCTGAACACAATATGCAAACATCAGCATATTGCATACAGATTGGGAATTAGTCAACGAAATTATTAAAAAAAAATGTGTTTCTTATAATTCACTCATTTTTTACCGACTGTACGTGTATTTCTTCTTTTGATTCATATATACATAAAGTATTACATTCGAAATAGGCACAATTGCATGAATAAACTGATATTTGTAAGAAAACAAGTTTAAATGTACAGCGTCTGTAAATTCTGCTTTTTACAATTATCTTGAAATAACCTTTTACATAAATATGTCTGAACATATTCTACAGATTAATTTCTAACATTAGACTCCGATTCCTTTTCTAGTGGACAGCCCATTCCTCGAGTGGACTACACTCGGGAGGAAATCGACACCTGGTGAGTACACGTAGAAAGCGGCTAGAAACGTCACAAAATCTGATAATGCAACACCAATATAAATATTTTTACACAATGTTTTTTTAATCTTTTTCGGAACAAAATCGTATCATCATGCAGTTCTGTATTTACAATCTTTTGAGTGTATAACTGTAAAAAAAGATAAATTACTGAACAAACCTGAATAGAACGAACAACAATTTATTTCTCAAAGATTATAACTTAGGAATGAAATATATGGAGATAACGAACAGTATTCAAGTCCATAAAACAATACAAAACAGGATCAGAGCAAACATGGACCTCCAAAACATCAGAGGTGGGTTCAGGTGCCATGGAGGAGAAGAGTGAGCATCCCCTGCTGACCGGTCACACCCGCCGTCTACTCCTAGTCATATGATATGAAAATAACGAAAAAATCCGTCGTCAATTCAGTTTTTAGATAATGAACTAACAATTAGTATGAAAAACGTCAGTCAGCAATGATAAATTGTATTTGCTAACAAGGTCATTGTATCGACCGTAGAACTTATTAAATGATGACTTTAAACGAGACTGCTGATATTCTTGTTTAATCAGCTTGTTTGTCAACAATGTACCTCGTTTAAGAGATTGTTCATACATAGAGCTATGCGTATCGGATCAACTGAGATACATAAACTCCGTAAAATCCGTATGCAGGCGATGAAGGTATATTGAAGTAATCACGTTTATCATAGATCGGTTGTTAGATTACCATTTACGTCTTTTTCAAGTAAAATATCCATATATGAAACAGATATGTCAGACTCTCTGGTATCCTTTGTCTTTACAAAGTATATACTCCTACATAGTAGGGTTAAAGGTAGGCAGAGTCATTACCCCTCAGAACCCCTTCACATCCCTTAAATGTCTTTCTAAGAAGGATTTCCTCATCGTATGTTGTAATGCATTGCATCCCCATTGAAGATGGGAGCCAGTTGATGAATGAATATTGAAATATTTCCATTTATTTAGGGGTGTCGTTTTTCGAGAGTTGAACAAACTGTATCCCTCTCACGCCTGCCGGGAGTACCTGAGGAACCTCCCCCTACTGATCGACCACTGCGGTTACAGGTAAGTCTGAAACACCTGAATGAAAGAAGTACCTGAGGAACACCCCCTTTACTGATCGAACACTGCGGTTACAGGTAAGTTTAAAACACATGAATTAGAGGAGTATTTAACCCCCCCCCCCACCACCACCATCACCACCACACACATGCACACACAGACCGACCACTGCGGTAACAGGTAAGTTTAAAACACCTAAATTAGAGGCGTACTGCATTTTAAGAATCTTCTTATTAATATATTAAACCATCCAAAAAATATTGCAAATTTACAAAAGCTGTTCATCAAACACTAAAACTCAAAGAAATACAGTTGTATAAGCATTTTGCTTTCGGATTTTAAGATGATCCGAGTCATCAAAATTAGGGACGGTATGACAAAACTTACAGCGCTACGAATATATGAACTCCAAATTGTGTTCCTGTCTTTTACGGGTTGCCCGTACTGTACCTAACATTCAGCAAGGTACTTGTATACCATATTTATGGTTAAATTATATGTTAGTTTTTATGCACATTTATGTCAAAATTCATTTTTTTTTAAACGACAGTGTAATTTTTGTATGACCAAATCATTCTCTGTTTTCTTGATGTTCAGCAGGTAAACTGAAAGTAAATTCAGATACGACAAATATTAAGACAGCATTGAAAATTTTATGATAAAACACCATGAAAACAATATTTAATTAACGTTTCAAGGTTAAAACAACTTAAGGGTTTGCTAAATGTCAAATAAATAATTTTTACAATAGCTCCAAAACTGTGGATCATAAAGTAAAATCTTTTACAATTTATAAATAAATCATTGATTAACAGATAGAACGTATCACTTGATAACAAATATTTAGAAACAGATATTTATCGAAAAAATGCTCAAAAAATATATTTTTATAAAATATGTGTTTTGTAGTGATACTTTTTGTGGTTTATCTATAAAAGTTTTGACTTTATACCTCACAACGTTTTGAAGCTATTGTTAAAAAATAAAGTTTGGACATCTTGACCTTTGAAATATTCTGAGATTGCAAGACAACTACCTGACAATAATACTGAAGGGTAAATATTTTTATCTCATAAGTTTTTTTCCCAAAAGCCCGAAAAACGTGTATGTACTTAGGAAAATAAAAACCTTTTGATATAAACACTGATGTCATGCTTCGCTAACCTTTGTCACGTGCAGAGTACAAATTTTGAATGTTAAATTTTTATCGGAAACACTTATTTGCCCAAGTTTTACGCTTCACTGATTATTGTCACGTGCAGAAATTCCGATCAGAGCTCCCCTTGGTATTTCCAGATTAATATTAATTGTCAAAATATTCACAATAAAAGTGCAAATCATCAAGGCTTGTTTTTATATCATAAATTCTGATTTATAAATATGTAGATCACCATGTGAATGCAGAAACAACCTTTATTATTTCTTTGTATAGTTAGAAAACCTTTTTCTAACCATGACTCAACATGTTGTATGAATTTTAGTCTCAGTATCTAGTTTTATATTACAAAGATACAGAAATTTTGTCATTCTATACATTGCATATGTTACAGTTTAATATGAGCTTGATTTAATTGTACAGTTTGTTGTCAGTTTATTATGTACTGATGGTTTTACCAACTCCCGTATCTTCTTGCTTTTATTCAAAGTTGTTGAATGTGCATGTGTGTTTTGTAGGGCTGGGCAAAAATATTGATATTTCAATATATTGCAATGCAGTGACAAAAAATATTGTATTGCAATACGATTTTGTAATATCGATATATTGGCAATATACATAGATTAAGGAATTTTGTCATTAAATATAAAAATGGACTTATAAAAGTTTGTTATTAAGCCAAACAGTAAGTCAGAAGTTGTTTTGTGGTAAAATTTCAGAGCATAACTTAAATGAAATCAACAAGATTTTTTTCCGTGTTGGTTACTTATCATAGTTGTGTACATTCTGCATATAAATTAAAGTAAATATAGTAAGAAAATGCCATTTTTATTACATTGAAAATATTGCAATACATATCGCAATACAATTAAAAATATCGCAATATATCGCAATACGAATTGTGTGTTTTGAAAGGTAGGTGTGTATGCGTGTGACAATAAAACCTACAAATGATATAGCTTAAGTTGAATTATATTACAAGTATCTGCCCTGAAGTTTTGTTTCTTCTCTTGTTTTTGTAGAGATGATAATGTACCTCAACTACAGGATGTCTCGGACTTCCTTAAAGGTAACCCTTGTCATTAAAAATAAAAGGTAAACCTTGTAAATTAAAAAGCGCTCGTGTTCGTAAATTGTAAAGGAATTCAAAACAAGTGCAAGAGATATAGATATAGAAACAGTTAAAATGTTCTGTATTTAAGTCTGCATCGTCCTGTGCAGTATAACATGAATTTCCTGTGTCAAACACGACACAAACGAATTCGTGGAAATGTTCCCGACAGATCATTTGTTTTATTATTTAAAGTTCATGTTAGGTATTACCGGTATTTGAACTGAATTGGATGATTTTTCATCAATTAACCATTATCTGTTACAAAACATTTCATTTTTAGCAAATAGAAAAAAAGCTTAATTAGATGTAATTTTTGATTGTTTAAGCAGCAATATTTTATTTTAGAAGAAAAAAAAATTAATTATAGTTTTAATTGAAAATTATCAGTTCTCACACAACATGTTTATGATTTAATGGGTATTGAAGGTGTAAACGTTTTTATTCACTACAATGTACCATTTCTTGATATTTTCATTAGAGTCAGGAAAGTTGCTATTACATTTCCAAGCTAACTCTAATAAATATTTAAGTTTGATAATAATCTTTATTTCATGTTAATTATGCTTGCTCTGCAAAAAAGTATAAGTGTCATCAAAGAAAGTTATTCAAAAGCAAACAAGAATGTAGCCCAGTACAAATGTAATATTTTACATGAATGGATTTCAATTCATATTGAGTGGTTACTTCACACTGTCAAAGTTTGGAGTTGTCTTCCGTTAATTAGGTACAGTAGTTCAAAAACACACAACTTGTGCTCATTAGTTTGGACAGTTTCGATTTAAACCGGCGATTACACAGTCGGTAACAAAGTATGACAAGTATTAAAGGCATGTTTTATATTTATCAGTTTTAGATCATTTTGTCATATTGTTTTGTGCAAATTCTCATCCGTGCAAAGACGAAAACACTTGCTGTGGCCCTCAACTCGACATTTTGATATATCGACGACATATTGTCAATTAACAATGATAATTTCAATTCCTATGTCGATGCAATATATCCTGGTGAGCTTGAGTTAAAAGATGCTACAGAGTCTGACACATATGTTTCCTATTTGGTTATTTTACTAAAAAAAAGACTTTGATGGCAATGTAACAACCAAGCTCTATGATAAATCTAAAACACTTTCCTGTCGTCCAACTTCTCTTACTTATACAGCACTATACCTTCATCTCCTGTATACGGAGTTTATATATCTTAGTTGATTCAATACATAAGAGTATGCTCTACGTATGAACATTTCTAAAAAAAATGGTAGGTTATTGACAAACAAGTTGATGAAACAAGAATATCAACAGTCTCGGTGAAAGTCATCATTTCGTAAGTTCTATGGTCGATACAATTACCTTGCAGCAAATCCATTTATCATTGAGTCAAATGCTGACTGACGTTTTTCATACTGATTGTTAGGCAATTATTGAAACACTGAATTGACGACGGATTTTTCCGTTATTTTCCGATCATGAAAAGGAGCACACGGCGGGCGTGACCGGTCGGCAGGGGATGCTCACTCCTCCATGGCACCTGATCCCACCTCTAATGTTTTAGAGGTTCGTGTTTGCTCTGCTCCTGTTTAGTATTGTTTTATAGACTTTTGATCTTGAATACTATTCGTAACTCCATATGTTTTATTTTAATGTTTATTGAGAAATTTAGTTTGTGAAGTCATTTAACAATATCTTTAAAATTGATGTTGGACTGTTTGATAAGAGATTTGATCTGTCTTTTAGATGATGAACCGCTATGATTTTCCTTATATCTCGTTTCATTTATTTGTATTTGTTGGAGTTAAAAAAATCATATAACGACTGTGCTCTCAAGTAACGTGTATTTACCGAACTCGCGAATAAGACTGTTGCAACTCTCATTCACTCGTCGTCAGTTATACTCTGTGGTGTCTAGGAAAGCAATGACCTTTGCTTGTCTTGGGCCAGTCATTCTAGCGATCCAAAGAGTACTGCATAGTTCTTTTCCCTCTCTCCACTGTAGTTTTCCATTTTGCTCTTGGTCTTCCTCTCTTTCTCTTTTAATCTGGAGTCCAATGGTGGAGTGCCGTTCTTGTGGTTGATCGGGGCTCCCTCCGAAGGTCATACCTTATCCATCTCTATAGCCTGCTTGTTATGATGTCCTTCTGTCAATATCACCAGTCTTCATTGGAGATCTCTTCTGACCAGAATATTCAGAGGGTTTTACGAAGACATATGATGTGGAATGAGAGTGACTTGTTAAAGTGGATTTCTGTCATTCTCCAACATTCAGATCCACATATACGGAAATGTAGATATGTCGAAGCTCTCATATAACGTTAGCTTGATGTTGGTGTATTTTGGTATATCTTGTTGATGCACCTGAAAACACTCATGGCCTTTCCTAGTATGTCCAGAGGTTGATGCTTCCAAGATTAAGCAATCTGTCTGATGACGTTCATTTCCTTTAATCTTCAGAAGAGTACACGTATGAACAGTAAGTGCATTTTTCTGTCTTTTTGGTGATGATTTTTATTTTTATCTATACCTGTCCTTCCATACTGTTTATTCTACAAAACCCACACTCTTCATTTTTAAGAAAAGGGTGTAGTGAAATCTTCTTAGAGTATCTTTTGTTTTCCTTTACATGTTCTTGAGCTTAAGTTGTTGTGGTTTTAAAGGCTTTTAATCAAAAGTATCGGCTTAGATTAAATGCCACAGTGTCGTAGGATGTTTCTTAGGCTGTGTTAATCTGTGTGTGCTGCCGAATGCCTTCTCAATGTCTAAAATTCACAGACAGTTGTAGCTGCTACTCTGTGACACTGACCCATGATGTTGCGGAGTGTAAAATTCTTATCAGAACAACCTCGTCCCTCTCTTATTCCAGCTTGTTTTTCCACAATAACTTGTCCTAGTTTTTGCTTCCGTTGTTGTTGTGTTTTCTTAAGGAATAACTGTCGTATTTTTCGATTTCATGAAGTGATCAATCGATTGGCTTGCGTGATAATTTGCATAAACGCCGAAGGCGTTTATGCATAAAATTATCACGCAAGCCAATCGATTGATCATCTTCATGAAATTGAAAAATCTGACAATTATTCCTTATATTTACATGCTTTGATTCCGCCAATCCACGTGCTCCAAGCACTGCTTCTGTCTAGCTGTTTGTTCAGCCCTGCACGTGGTTTTTTTGGAACCGCGCCAATTCATTGATGGGGAAATAAAGTACATTTACAACTGGTAACTTTATCTCGGACAAAGACATTGGAAATGTAAATATTTCTCTATAAACTGTTCAATATTACGTTACATGGACGAATACTAGTAATATATCTACACTTCGTTTATCCTCATGTTTCACTCCAACTTCGACCCCTTCTCTCTTTTAGAACATAGGTTACCAGATGCCACCAATAAGCAACAAATATCTTTTTGTATTGATTACTGGGTTTTTCAATACAGTTCGTAATCTCCATATATTTTACTGATACATCCAATTCAGCCACTGCTGCTAGCTGTTCAATAGCCTCATTTGTGTCGAAAATCTGGTGTTTAAATATTTCATATGTATTTTAAAGGTGCATAGACATAGATTAGAAGTTAATATTTTCTGTATAATATCAGGACTTATATATTGTAATAGCATTTCACACGACAATAAAAAAAACCCCATTTAATCTAAAAGTTATTAAAGCTTAATTTTTTTGGACGGGTTTGATTGACACATCCTTGCATTCTCATAAATTTTAATTCTTTTCTAAAAGTGGCAATCTTATTCTTTATTAATGAAAGATATTAAAACTATAACAAGAAATTTCCAAATTCAGGTTTAACAAGTCCAACAAGTCATACGTTACACTCATACCCAGTCAATAACCGTATTGTACTTGTTGCAGAGAGAACCGGTTTCCAGCTTCGTCCAGTGGCAGGATACCTCTCATCACGTGACTTTTTGGCGGGTCTAGCTTTTCGCGTGTTTCACTGTACACAATACATTCGTCATAGTTCGGATCCTTTCTACACTCCAGAGCCGTGAGTTATTGAATATTATTAAGGATTGTTTAACTTGTGCTAATGCATGTATATCAAGTTCTCTCGAACTGATACTAGTGTGTATTTTATTTGATCACAGCAACAATTTCATTTATGGAAATACAATACTGATTCAGTTACACGCGCTCTGTGAAGTTGATGTTAAGAAATGTTTGACAATATTTATATAGTTTATTGAGAGCAAACACAAACTATCATTAAGTCGAATTGCAGAAGTAGGTGAGTCCTATATTTTTTTAGTGACTGCTGCCATGAGTTGTTGGGACATATGCCACTTTTGGCGGATCCAAGTTTTGCACAGTTTTCACAGGAACTTGGATTGGCATCCCTTGGTGCTTCTGACGAGGAAGTTCAGAAACTGGCAACGGTATCTTGCTAAACTTATCTTTTTTTTATAAGAGCTTATTCTTAAATATCAGATTGGCATATTTACGGGTGATATGATCCTTTTATTCGATTCTTTTAATTACAGTGCTATTTCTTTACTGTGGAATTTGGCTTATGTAAACAGGACGGACATCTTCGGGCTTACGGCGCTGGTCTCCTGTCATCAATAGGAGAACTAAGCGTATGTTTTATATAGCAGGATTTCTTAAGGAGTTTTGCACCTCAGATATTTGTAGTGGAACGGGGGGAGGGGGTGGTCTTAGTCGTAAGATTCTTTGTGAAAAGGGCTACAAATATGTTTAGTAATAACAAAATATTTCTACTGGGTATTACTGGATACTAGTATTATTAAGCTTTCGTATTGTAAATAGAATTCAAGATGCTGAATCTCTTTTGCTACTTGTTGGCTAATTATACCTTAATTATCCCTTAGTCACGCATTTATATCGGTTGATTTTTAAAAATAATAAATAAATCTGTTTTAAAAATACTGTTATCATATCTACTTGAAGTTTCACTTTTTTAAAGGATAGGTCCATGTTTTGTTTTTATTTTGTAGCATGCTTTGACAGAGAAAGCCCGGAAGATTCCCTTTGAGCCGATGCGCACTTGTCGCCAGGAGTGTCTCATCACTACTTTCCAAGATGTCTACTTCTTCACGGAGTCATTTGAGGAGGCAAAGGAAAGGATGAGGTATAACCAACAATTATTGAAATAAATACAATTACAGTACCTTAGTAAATAAACTGTTATCTTTAAAATTTATATCTTCACTGTCATTCACAGACAATTTGCCTGCACCATTAAAAGACCTTTTGCAGTACGCTACAACCCGTACACACAAACTGTTGACGTCTTAAACAACACGCGTTGTATTGCGTACGCCGTAAGCGATCTACGTGGTGATCTGTGTATCGTTAGTGACGCATTGCGTCGTCTGCAACAACTGGAGTTTCAGAAAGAAGACGAGGAACGGATGGAGCCCTCCACCCCGAGATAACAGCGCTCAACTCCAGTGTAGAGGTCTTAATGCTATAAATCATTATTCTTTGCAGCTAATGGTTAGGAGTAGTATGACTTTACAATGTATATAGTGTATTTATTAATATTAGTACGAGTTTTCCTCTACATATAAGTCGGTCACTTAGGATATCATTGTATGGCATAAAATTTGGTGAAAATATCTGAAAATCTTAGTAGCCTAGATTTTTTTTATTTCATGCAATTCGCTAATTGAAAAAGATAATCATTTTTTTTTAAAAAAATAATGCTTTATACATTAACAAAACTCAAGTTTGAGTCAAACTGTGAATCTTGTATTAGTGTTACCAGGTACATTAAAAACTATTACAGATTTCAGTCGCTCCCAAGCTCCATATGACACCCCGATCATGTAATATTAATGTGACTTTTACCTGCATCCTCTGGAGACTATGAAAACGGAAACTGAACATAAAAAGGCTCTACCAAGTTGTGGGCTATAGTTTTGTGAAAATTTGAGTATTGCTGTGCTATTTTTAAACAAAAAAGCAATATCTTTATGCTGTTATTGTAAAACAATAGGAAGTTTTTCAACAATCTGTATGAAAATATTGAATATTTTAAGCATTGCCTGCTACAAAGAGTTTACAAAACGACGATAATTCCAACTACCATTCTTTGTGCAGTATTATTTTTTTTTTAATTTGATGTTTACTTTCCTTTTAAAGAAAAAAAAAAAACATCTCAATATATTTTTCTTGTCAATTCTTCCTCTTCTTAATGTTGTATGTGTCGATTAAAAGTGAATAAGATCCAGAAAAAGGTGTGATAAATAAGACAAATATTAATACAATGTTAAAATTAAAAGTCAAGCACATTTTGCTATATTAATAGATTAAATTATGCTATTTGCTTGTTGTGTTTTATTGCTGGACAATAAATAATGGAAAATGTTAATTTTTCAAGTATATCTTGGTTTTCATTTTCAAGGAATAGTGTTTTCTTTCATTGTTCCCCAAACACAGAATTTGGGGAAAAAAATTGGAAAACAAAGGATACTTTTCAGAGTTCAGTAAATGTTCTACAAAGCCTTGATCTTTCTCGTCGCAAAATATTATAACTGCTACGATGGAGAAAATTAAAACGCACTGTTTAACAATTCTTAAAGTTTCCTATAACAAATGCGAATTCTTAACAAAATAAACCAAACAAAACTAGAGGTATACTGTGAGCAATGAGCGGACTTGTATTCATGGTCCGGAAAAATCCTGATTGACAATATTTATGTTGTTTTTAGAGATCAGGACTAGCAGTAAATTACTGAAATTTACAAGGGTACTAATCGACATTTAGATATATATCGACAACTTATTCTCAATTTAACAATTAATGGTAATTTTATTTTTATTTCGATACGATACATCCTGGTGAGCTTTAGATAAAATGTACCATAGAGTCTGACACATCTGCTTCACATTAAGAAATATTACGTGATAAATACTTTTATGGTGATTTAACTATCAAGCTCTATGATAAACGTGATGACTTTAACTTTTCTATCGTCAACTTCCCTTATTTATGCAGCAATACACCTTCATCGCCTCGATCATACGGAGTTTACATCTCTCAAATGATTCGATCTCTGCGTATGAACAATTTCTAAAACAAGAAAATTATTGACAATAAACAAGTTGATGAAACAAGAATTTCAGCAGTCTCGTTTAAATTCATCATTTCTTAAGTTCTATGGTCGATACAATGACCTTGTCAACAAATAATTTATCATTGAGTCAAATGTTGACTGACGTTTTTCATACTACATGTAGTTATGAGTCCATTTTTATACACTAAATTGGAGACAGATTTTTTTCGTTTTTTGACAAGGGATGCCTACTCCTCCATGGCACCTGATTCCTTTTCTGATGTTTGGAGGTCCTTGTTTGCTCTGCTCCTATTTTGTATTGTTTTATTGACTTGTGATCTTGAATGATATTCGTTATCTCTGCATGTTCCATCAGAAAATCCGTCATCGATTCAATGTGTAAATAATGACCTTACAATTAGACTAAGTTTAAAAAACGCTTTAGTTAGCATTTTACTCAACTAAGGATATTTTTTGGCTGACAAAGGCATTGTAATTCTATTGAAACAAGAATATCACCAGTCTCTGAAGTCATCATTTCGTAAGTTCCATGGTCGATTCAAAATCCTTGTTGGAAAATACAAATTATCATCGAGTGATTCGAGTCAAATGCTGACTGACATTTTTCACACTGATTATTAGACCATTATTTACACACTGAATATATGCGACAACTTTTCCCGTTATAACTTATTTCTCTATCATGACAAGGAGCACACGGTCGGTGTGACCGGTCGGTAGGATGATTTGGAGGTCCTTGTTTGCTCTGATCCAAATTTGAATTGTTTCATTGACTTTTGAGCTTGAATACTTTTCATTATCTCCATATATTTTATCAACAATAGAATTTACGAAATTATGACTTTGAATGGGACTGTTGACATTCTTGTTTCATATCAACTTGTTTGTCAATAACTTTCCTCATTTTAGAAATTATCTCTATTTTGAGTATGCTTTTGCATATCAAATTAACTAGGAGAGATAAAAACCCCGTTTGTAGGTAATAAGGGTTTAATGTCATCAGGTTTTAATAAAGATTTTTTTGTTTGTTACATTAATAAAACAAATGAGCCAGGCTCTGTGGTATCTTTTATTTCAAGCTCACTGGGGTATATCGATCGTGTCGAAATATGAATAGAAATAACTATCGTTAATTGATGATACGTCCTCTATATATCTAAATGTCGAGTTGAAACCATACCATGTATACAAAAGGTGTATTTTTTCTGTTCAGGTATGAGATTTTGTACAAATTCTTCATGCGATTACAAAAATGGGACTGCTTACAACGTGGGGCAACTACTACCCGTGGTACAAACAGATTGTTGAACGACCTTATCTTTACAATCTGTAACGAAGCTCCCTCTTTTATATCTTTTTTATTTTGTTCAATTTTATTGAAATTTTGTGATTTCAACTTTTCCAAAGGTTCCTTCGAATGTTTGAGTATCCACCTCTGTTTTTAACCACTCCTCAAATATATTGTTGTACAGTACTCCCGAAGTTTCCCCACTGCTATAAATATTTTAGAGAAGAGTAAATAAAGTCTGAGCTTGGTGGTTATGTAGATAAAAAAAATACTGAATCCCGCTATGTATCTTCCTTTGCAAGAAATTTATGAAATTTCGACTCCAATATAGTTATGGTAATCCAAATTCATTTTACTTGTTTGGAATATTACAAATATTCAAACCTGAAGAATTTTCTCCCCAGGAAGGAAGCTATGGGTATAAGTTAAAATCACCACTTGTAGAATTAAATCACAGATCCCCTAAACAAAACTGATATAATGAGCCTTACAAACAATCAAAGTACTGAAAGTACTGAAAAGCGGTTAGCATGCTTTCATCTAATATGTACCGAAAAAGTGCATAAAATGATGATATTTAAGTATGCATATCTTTATCCAATGTCATCAGAGAAGAAAAACCCAGACATTCTGTTTTTGTAATACTTTACTCAATAGTAAAATCAATAACATTCCAAACTGATGTCACAGATGGATGCAATCTAATTAAAATTAGATGTTCCGAATCCGCTACTGCTTCTCAAACATCTAACAACATCCTATTTGGGGTCATGTAAGAGTGAATCTTCGATTAGGCAAAGAAAATGGTTCCTCCGAAATCCTGGCTAATAGTTCAGATGGGTTTCTTGTTTTCACCACCCAACCAAAACACCCGAGGAGTTTTGAAGTAAAAAGATATGCATTGCAAAAGTTGTGTTATGTATGACGTGTGGGGTATCTTGTATAGTTTGTGCTCTTTCGTTTGCATTATTCACGTTTAGATGCCAGACTGCAGAAGATACATGAAATTTATTCCAAAATTACTTTAATTCAACGTAAGACAGTATCAATAATGATGATATGTAGCCGTGGAATTAATTTGAGAACTGTTTACCGAGGCTTGAATCTACATGGCCAAAGTGTTTGTGTTTACTTGTACATGTATTCATAATTGAAAGGTCACTCTGATGTGACCCCAAATGGGATGTTAGATGTTTCAGAAGCGGTAGCGGATTTGGAACATTTAAATAAATTTTAATAAGATTGAAATGCATGTTTCAAAATTTAAACATGAGATTTCTTCAGTTTGAAAGACAGGAAGTGCATTTTTAAAAATTCTCTCTTGATGGCATCCAATTGTTCTCTGGATAAAAAAAAATTATGTTGATGTTGAAAATTTCATTGTCTTTTATTCTCTATTGAATCTGAAATTAGGTAATTGTAAAGCCTACTATAACAAACAACTAAAAAATGACAAGTTAAATTCTTTAGATTAATGGATTTGGAGTAGTGTAGATCTACAGCTGGCTAGTCAGAGAAAAAAGGATGGCTGAGGAGAGACTTTGTAAATGAATTGATATCAGAGAGATTCAGTTGTGTAGGCTCATCGCGGCAATATAATTAACCTGTCAACGAGGGATGCTTACTTTTTCTAGGCAACAGATCCCACCTCTTGAACTTTCAGGAGTCAGCTTTTCTTCTAAAATCGATCATTGATCATTCTGTATTTTGATACAGATACTGAATACTTCCTTTAGTAATATTATAAACTACTACTTCTACGGGAAGACTGGCGAGTAAACAAGATTATCAAGCTTTATGAAATATATTTTATTGACTTTTCAAACAAGTAAATGTTCGAATAAAGTAAATGGTATATGAGAATCATTTGAAAGAAGTCTTGCACAATATAAGGCACAATATCTAGATAAGGACATATAAGGTGTTTTTATCATATACTCTTCATGCAATATTGTTCTCAAATAAAACATGAAAAGGAAAGTTGTGTAATCAATCAATACTAGTATTTAAAAATTCAAATGTACATTAAAAATCAGTGTAACTTAAGAAGTTATCAGTGTCACTTTCTTCAATATGTCGGTTAAACAATATACACTGATTTCTTTTCTATCAATGTGCCTCTAAACACCTGTATTTTAATTTTATTCTTCTCAAACGTTTAAAACAATAATCGACAAATTGGACAAATTCAAATTTTAAAAGTATTTTCACAGCTAATAATACGTTCCCTAGGAATTGATCAAATTTTCAAAACTTATAAATAAGCATTAAGTATAAATTTTAAATTTTTGCTAATTGCCGAAATTTTTCATACCTCATTCTTCTGTGAAAATAATATCGGTTGATTTTTAGAAGAGGATCACAATGCTGATTAAAATTAA